CCAAGGCCCAACTATGGCCCAAATTTCCAAATTGGGCCCAAACCTCTACATAGTCTTGCCTTAAGGCCCAATCATTCATTCTTGGTCCAACACTTGACATTGTCATGGTCCAACATCTCATAATCATCAAGGCCCAAACTATAGCCTCTCTATGGCCCAATTTTCTAAATTGGGCCCAAACCCTCATATGGGCCTCACCCGAAAGCCCATCTAAATATTCTAGTCCATATAATCATTCTTGGATGGCCCATTATTGGCCCAATTACCAAAACCCAATCGAAAGGCCCAACTCAAGGCCCAAGTGAAACTAGGGTTTCACATAAAATGACAATTAGGGTTAAGTGTTTCTTACTTAACCCATTAAGGACTTAATCCATTAAGTCCTTTACTCTACTAGATCAATGATATGGAGAAATTGGGCTTAATACACAATCCAATCTCAATAGCCCAAAAGTGGGTCCAATAAGTCGAAGGCCCAATTACTCACAATTAGGGTTTTCTAAACCCTAATTAGGGTTTCCACTCAAACATGGCCCAAAAGGCCCAAAATTAATCTTTAAGCCCATTAGGGTTTTGCTAGTCCATTAGGGTTTTGCTAGTGGGGCACCACCCACTACTACCTCGGGTAATGGTGGTCCATGGCGGCTCACGACGGCGGCCACCACCTCACGGTGGTGGTTTGGTTAATTTTCATTATTCCAAATTCAAATTACATTTTACAAAACTAAATCTCAATTAATCACACACACACACACACTAAACTAATCACACACACAGTCACAACGTGGTGGCCGGCGGTGGTGCTTGGCGGCAGCCACCACCTCACGGTGGTGGCGATGACTTTTTTTCAGATTTCGGCCAAAGATTCCTCACTCACACACTACATCACATACACACTAAAATAAACACCCACCGACAGCCCTTCATCGATCTTGAAAGAGGGAGTTGACGGCGGCAGCAGCCACCATGGCCGGCTGCCATGGTGGTTCCTCACGGTGGTCTTCAGCTTCACGCAATATCGAGCGACGGCGGATGAGGTGAAGGGAAAATAAATAACAGCGGCAGCGGTGGTTTGCATCAACATCCACTCCCGGTGGTGCACAGTGACGACAGTAGGAGTGCTATCGACGACAGCAGCGACCCTCTCGGCAGCTTCTTCTCCACCGGTTGTAGACACGGTGACGGTGACTGGTCTCGGCGGTCTCCCAGCCTCAGCATCGTGGCAATGTAACAGTAGCCTTCGTCAGCAGCAAGGCTGTGGTAGTGTTTCTATAATGAGGCAGCAGGCGGCGGTAACAACCTCAACGGGGTGGCGGAGCGGCGCCGAAAGTCGCGAGAGTGTGGAGGTGGCAGAACTGAGCTGTCGGACTAGGTGTTGCTCCGGCGGCTGATGAGGGTTTCCTTGGTGATGGCGATGGTAATAAGAGAAGGGGAGTATGTCGGCTGCAATAATCCTTAGGGTTAGGGTTTAGTTAAACCTTTATACCCGACTCCACTCCATAATTTGCCTTAATGGCAATAACAGCCCCTCCATGCCCCTTTTTATTCAAATGTAATCCAAAAGTTACCATTTAAGTCCCTGCCCATAAAACTCTTTACAAGTTAAATCCGAAATTTACCAACAACCCCCTTACTCCATAAAATCTCTTCAAATTAAGCCCCAAAAATTACCATTTAGCCCCTGCCTTCATAAATATTTACAAAACTAATCTGGGACTTACACTTTTAACCCCCAACTTCTAAAATTCTTCACAAATTAGTCCGGGACTTATATTTATTAATTTATTTAAATAAATGGGGCGTTACAGATTTGCATAACAGTCCCCCAATTATTAATCAGTCTCTTTTAATCCTAAAATTAATACTTGATTAATTTATGATTAATTACTAATTAATAATATGATTTCCAAATAATATATTAATCTTGTAATATATTAATAAAACTATTTTGAGTACAAATTTTATTATTCACATAATAAATTTTGCTCCCTCTCCTCTTGTCATCCTATCAAGTTGCATGAGTGAAGGCAACCCAAAAGGACCATGCTCATAATCAAATCAAGTACATACCAAATAGTTATGAGCTTAGACACCTAATCCAACAACATATCCCTCATATATCTCTGTGTCATTTAAGCTTTTAGAAAAAGACACACGATTCAAAAGAGAATACAAGTTTTATTTAAGTAATAAAAAATAAACTAATATTTCAAGACGAATCGAATTCATAATTTGTTGTCTCTCAAATTGGTGGTGCTCACTTTAAAAATAAATTTGATCTTGCATTCTCAATTATTAATGGGAAACACATGAATTTGGTGGAACGCCCTATATTACTCACTGTTTAATTGAATTTGTAGGGCAACTGGATGATAAGCGAGTTTGTGAGGACAAATGGAGGCTTGGAGCATGCATGGAGATGGATCGTGTTGATAGAGAGTTGTAGGATGGAAGGAAGATGCAGGAGAAAACATTATAATACATAGACATAGAGAGTGAAGATACACATACTGTTTTTTTCCACATAGAAAACACGAATCGTATATTAAAGAAACCACACATTGAAGCAACGCACTTTCGAAGTTGGTTAAGACCAAAAACATTGACCGTGTGTTCCGTGACTAAATTACACGGACTGTGCTTTTAAGGAAAAACTCATGTAGGCAAATGTACATTACCATGGAATCGGGAACACGTATTTATATAGGCATGGACCATTAGTTCATGTTCATGTGAATCAACCATGGTTACCTTACACTACCCTTTTGTGAAATATATAGTGATCACACACACACATGCACACACACACACGCATATATATATATATATATATATATATATATATATATATATATATATATATATATAAGAAAATGGTTGGTACATTACAACCATGGTACTAAAAAATTTATACAATTATCATGCCAAAACTGCTTAATTGATATGGTACTATCGGCCTAACATGTTTCATACCAAACATATTGACTACCAAATTTTTTGATTCGGTAGATAACATGTTGGTTGAATTAGATTGGTATACATTTAAGAGTTTTTTTTTGTTGTTACATGTCTAATAGCCTTTGATGATCTAAAGTTGCTTCATCTAAAGAAGGTATTTTGCATTGACTTTGGGAACATGCTACAAAAAATCAGCATGACATTTTGATTTGTTTAATTGATAAATACCAAACTTATAGAAATATTACAAGTAATTTGATTCTTAAAGTTTTGCCTCCTTTATCATCATGCAACTCTAATGAGTAAGATCATTCTTCCCCTAGTCAAACTCCTTAGACCATCTCCAACCCACTTCTATTTTTTCCTCTAAAAATGGAGTAAAAAATGGGATAAATAATGTTTCATCTCCATTCTCCAACTCTACTCCATTTTTATCCCCAAAAAGTATATTTCATTCTTCTAACTTATATAAATTGTCAAACACACCCCTTCTATTAAATTTGTTTTAACAAATATATAATCTATATTTTTGTTCATTACAATAATATTAAATAAATAAGATTATATTTATAACACTTAATTATAAGTTTTTGTAAAATACGTTATCATGTTTTAAAATTTCAATATGTATTTAAATTTTAATATTAATTTGATAAACAAAAAACAAACTTTATATTTATAATTAATTAATATAATTTAATATATAACACAATATTACAAGTATTAAATATTACATTTAAATTATAATTAGTTGATACAAAAAATCAGAAATGTATAAATATATAAAAAGAGGGACCAAATCGACAACTCAAATGTCATCCCCATTTTGGAGAAAATGAATAGTATAACACCAAAAATAGTGTTATACTATTCATTTCCCCCAAAATTGGGGAATAAATGGGATATGATTGGAGAGGAATGGGAGAAGAAATGAGAGTGAGTTGGAGATGTTCTTAGTAGGGTTATTGTTTGTGCTCTCATTATCTTCTATAAAGTTATATAAACATTATTAAACCAGAAAAAAAACAAAAATCAAAATAAAAGATTGCATATTTGTTACCAAGAATATAAAGAGAAGGGGGAGACAAGTATCATCAACTCTTTTGTGCGTTAACCTTTAACTTATGCAACTGTGGTTATGGTTACCGGGAGAAAAGGAGAGGTCGATGGCAGAGAAGGGAGAGTAGGGAGCGGCCGATGTAATGACAAGTTTTTTTTTTTTTTTTTTTTTTAATATCTAGGTCAATAGAGGGAAAAGGTATGGGTTATGGATGTGAGATAATGGAAGATTCGGTCCAAGTTTGGTAGTATGATAGGAACTATCATTAAAATTAATCTCATTTTCTTTCCTTATATTTTGTAATGGTACTTGATGTTATGAAAGTTGTATCTCTTAAAATTTATAAAAATTGGACTATATACATTATATAATAGGATAAGTATGAATTCAAAAATCATAGTTGCGCCATCTCAAAAATATTATTTAATAATTAAACAACAATTATAAACCATATATTATTTTATATGACTTTGATCAAATATTGAAAGACATAAACCATATATCATTTTATATGACTTTGATCAAATATTGAAAGGCTTAGTGGTTTATATGATGACATCATATTTGATATGAATATCCAATAAAATGGAAATATATTTATATTTATGTGTTAATAAAAGCCAGATACATATTCTGATATTAGATAGATATTATTTCATCTTATTTATGTACGTTCTTTGTAATTATTACATGTCAATTTTAATATAAACCGTTATCTATTATAAATGGAAATACATTTATATGATAAGAAAAATCAAAGACATATGATTAGATGGATCTTATTACATCCAATTTTTATCAGATTTTTTATTTGCGATTTTTACGTTACGAGTTAAAAATGACGAAATATAAGATGAAGTATATTTTTTAATGAAAGAAGTACAAGTGGTTAATGCATAGGTGGTGTGAATTCTATGATTCAGACTCTGGACAAAGGAGATTTCTTTGTTTATATATATACACATCACACACATGTATCATTCTCCATCTCCTAGTGAGAAATTTTCATGTGCATTTTGGAGTCTGAATGATGCAATACCTAGCTGTTGCTCTCCGATCATCACCGTCGATTCACCGCTTCTCTCCGCCGTTACACGCTGAAGGCACCGCCGCTTCCGCTAAAAGCAGAACTAATCGCACTTCGGTTTCGTTCGGCATTCGTAGTCCAGTAAGATGTGTTCTTCAGTCGCCGTCTCTAGGTAATCTATTTGTTGTGCGCATTAAAGAAATAGCATTGTGTTTTTTTTAATAGTAGCTGATTTGAATCTGTAATGTATTTTGGATTGACTCGTTTTTGGTCGATTGGTTTTGAATTTGTCTGATTTTGGAAGGGGGAAAGAAGCATTAGTAACCAACAGATATTTAATTTCCGTCAATGTACTCAAGTTTCTGTAATCAGAATGTGAGATTTTGTTTTGTTTTATTTATGCTAATTTGATACTGAACGATTCTCCTCTAGTTGCGGATGAGGCAGAGTTCGTTGAAGCTTCGAAGAGAGGTAATTTGGTGCCGCTTCACAGATGCATATTCGCTGATCACTTGACGCCAGTTCTCGCTTACCGCTGTCTGATTAATGAAGATGATAGGGAGGCTCCTAGCTTTCTTTTTGAGTCAGTGGAGCCTGGTTTTAGATCTTCACAAGTTGTAAGATCATGTTTACTAATCTCTCTTATTCTTTTCACGAACTTCTAGAAAGGAAAAAAAAACAAACAATAACCAATGTTCAGCTTCAAAATTCATTGTTAGTTCCATCTACTTTATCATTTGTACACTGCTGCAATGAACTAGAAGGTGATGAATGATGATTTTCTGATATCGTCATCTTAATTTGCTAGGGTCGATACAGTGTGGTTGGATCTGAGCCATCAATTGAAATCATCGCTAAAGAAAATAAAGTCACCATCGTGGATCATGAGAAAGGGAGTTTGATAGAGAAAGTCGTTGATGATCCTATGGAAATTCCAAAAAGTCTCTCCGATGGTTGGAAGCCTCAACTTCTTGATGGACTTCCTGATACATTTTGTGGTATGATCTTCTGTTCAATGGAAATTTGTATGATTAATAATTCTTCCATTTTTTCTTTATGATAAGCATTATCACCCCCACCAGACATCACTGACATTAGTTACTATAGTTCTTAAATGTTGCCACTTGCCTAAAGAGTGTTTAAATCATGATGTGGTGGGGTGGTTGAAAGAAGTATAGGGCACATAACATTAAACCTTGTTTCTTAATTGAATTGTCCTTTCTTGTTTGGGAAATGTGTCCTATTGACCTCACAATTTGAAATTCTAATAATCAAAACAGGTGGATGGGTTGGTTATTTCTCATATGACACAGTTCGCTATGTAGAAAAGAAAAAACTCTTGTTTATAAATGCACCACAAGATGACAGAAATCTAGCAGACATTCATCTTGGACTATATGAAGACGTCATTGTGTTCGATCACGTGCAGAAGGTATTCACAGTTTCACATCATACTTCAAAACAAAATAAGTCTTAAAATGACGAGTTTTTTTTTTTATATATTGATATGTAGAAAGCATATATAATTCACTGGGTGAGGGTTGATCAGTATTCATCTATTGAAGAAGCATATAAAGATGGAATTAAACGGTTGGAGAAACTGTTGTCTAAAGTACACGATGTTGATCCGTAAGCATATTCTGATGTTTTTACTTTTTATATTCCGTTCTTTTTATAACATTTTTTTTTAATTACAATTAGCCCAAAATTACTCCCGGGTTCAGTAGAATTAAGCACCCATCAATTTGGAACTCCCCTTGACCAGTCAAACATGACTAGTGAAGAATACAAGGCTGCAGTTCTTCAAGCAAAAGAACACATTCTTGCAGGTGATATTTTTCAGATTGTTTTAAGTCAACGGTTTGAAAGGCGGACATTTGCAGATCCCTTTGAGATTTATCGAGCTTTAAGAGTTGTGAATCCAAGTCCATACATGACTTATCTACAGGTTTATTCATTATTCAAGAATTAAAAAAAAAAAATATTCTACATTTGTTTTTCTCATATGAATTCTTTTACCAATTTACTCTACTTTCACAGGCTCGAGGGTGTATCTTGGTTGGTTCAAGTCCAGAAATTCTCACTCGTGTGAAAAACGTAATCCTTTTTTGGTTATTTATTTCCAAGATTTATAATTATTTATATTGTTGTGATAAATTTGACCGAAATCTTAATTTATGTGTTGACAGAATGTGATTGTTAATCGACCTTTAGCTGGGACTTCAAGAAGAGGAAAGACTCCTGATGAAGATGAAGAGTTGGAGAATGAGTTGTTGAAAGATGAAAAGCAATGTGCAGAACACATCATGTTGGTTGATTTGGGCAGGAATGATGTCGGAAAGGTTTGTGGATTCCGACGGAATTGGAATTCGAGATTCCATTCCTTACAATTTCTTTTTTGTTCCTCATTGATTGCTAACTTACATCTCCAAAGTAGGTTGCTAAATCCGGTTCAGTAAACGTAGAAAAGCTAATGACCGTTGAACGCTACTCCCATGTCATGCACATCAGTTCCACAGTAAGATGCGGACCCCACCATCATTTTCCATTACCATATAATCATTTATTACCAATTAAAAAAAACAAATAACAATTCTTTTTCATTTAAAAAAAAAAAAAAACAGGTGACAGGCGAGCTACTGGATCATCTCACTTGCTGGGACGCCCTTCGAGCCGCTCTTCCCGTAGGCACAGTCAGTGGTGCTCCAAAGGTTCCTTTTTCACTTTCACACAATTTACTTCACTCCAAAAAATTCAAGATTTAAAAAAATAATAATAAAAATAAAAAAAAAACAGGTGAAGGCGATGGAACTGATAGATAAGCTGGAAGTAACGAGACGTGGGCCCTACAGTGGAGGATTCGGTTGGATTTCTTTTAGTGGTGAAATGGACATGGCGCTTTCGTTAAGGACGATGGTGTTTCCAACTGGGGCCCGTTTTGACACAATGTATTTATATAAGGAGGATATGAAGAAGAAGAAGAGAAAGCAATGGGTGGCTTATATTCAAGCGGGTGCGGGTATTGTGGCGGATAGTGTTGCGGATGATGAGCAGAACGAGTGTGAGAACAAAGCCGCTGGTTTGACTCGTGCTATTGATCTTGCTGAGTCAGCTTTCTGCAAATGAATTGTTTTTTTAAAGAATAGAGGTAGGTGGTGTTGTTTTAGTTATTTAGTGGATGTACAACACAATGAAATGGAAAATTCACTAGCTTTATATAATGCTGTTCACTACTTTAAATTTTGTTATGGGTTACTTTTTTGTGTGGATGGTTTTAATGACATGTCCGGGATGCAAAGAATGTGGGGGTCTACAAATTGAGGATTTTAAGAAAAGTAATGGACAAAGGAATTGGATAAAGTAGAGTAGAATTCACTTAAGGCTCATGGGTGTAGGACGGCATTTAGCTCGGCAACCCCATGGCATACACCGTCCCCTGACGGTGGCATGTTGAGCTTCTTGGCTTCAAACGATATTTGACTCATACTCTGAAAATGACATGTCATGCATGTTGTTGACAAAAATGATGTGGTAGTGAGGTGGATGCCAAAACGTTGATGTGGAGCGTTGTATGCCATGCACCACTCCCTCAAACCTAAGTCAAAAAGTGAAGAAAAATGTTGAAAAGAATTTGACATGGTCATGTCACATTTCGGCCTTTGCATGACATGACCATGGTCATGTAGTCATGTGAGAGGTTAAATATCAACAATTCCAACATTTGAATTTATCTTTTGAATTTTGATATGTGTGAAGTAATTATGATAGATCTTATTGAATGCCTTGCTTGTATGATTTCTTGTACTTAATTCCAAATTTCATTTGGAAACATGTTAGATTTTTATTGAAAATTGATCACTTTGTTAATTTCAAATACCGATCAACAAGATTTACAAGCCTAATATTATTTTATTCTTATAATACGAACAAGGTAATGGTATTGTTTTTAGCACTTCGAACAAGAGTGTTGATTGTAGGTGGCACTTCTATCATTATCATTGCAATATGCACATTAACTTCAAAACAGCTAGAACTTAAAGTAGCATGTTAGGTTTAATCACTGAAATGCATTTTATTAGATTATATAAATACAATGGATGTTAGAACGTGTAGATAACTCGTGTCAATACAAATCATTCTTTTAGGGATCGTTACACGATCATCAATAATCATAAGTTGGATCATGTTAGAAATAACTCAGATGTTGAAATAATTTTTATTCTTTGAATTAACATTTATCATATTTGATGTTTGTCATAGTAATTTATATAATCAGTCCCCATATTGTTTTTATCTTATTTAAGTATCAAGGACACATACACTTCAACATGTTTGGCACAAATTGTTAATTTGTATCCCTAACGACACCAACCCTACTTCCAATTATAGGAGTCCTTTATATGCTTTAGTAGGTTCATCTTTATCATTATTTTGATTACATTATCTTGTTAGGTTCATACCCAACAATTATGAGACATGATTGATCGGAAAAAAAAACTTTATTATCAGGAGCTTGTTAATTTACAAGTCTATTTTTTTAAAACTTTGGTTGAAAAAGCCTCCAATTGTGGATGTTCTTACATATAAATTATACAGGTGTTCGTTTGGATGGATCGGTTTGATCAGATCCAATCAAGTGAATCCAAATTGATTTCGGTTTTCAAAATATGGATCCGAATATCGAGAGAAAATGCATGTTATTGTTTTTTATTAGGCGACACTTTTTGAACCTATTTGAAAAAATAAATGTTGACCGAAACACGGTCAACATTTGGTCATCGCAACGCAACAGTCAGTGGTGATTTCTTTCCATTTTGAGCATTAAACTTTTCAATATAGCAATCAACTTTCATAGTATCATTGTATTACCTTTCATGGGCATCTTACAGCCCTTAAAACCTAAAGTCTTCCTTACATTTTTTAGTGCTTCCAAACACTTTCAATAACATAAGAACACAAGAGTTGTTTTTATTATTTTATGTGTACTTTAATGCTTAATTGACTTGTATATCATGACTTGTACGCTTTCAACATTCATTAGTTTGAACATGTGGTGGTTCCCACTTGAGGGAAGATAGAAGCATATCTTTTAAAGGGTTTTGAATGGAATCAAGATAGAAACATCACAACCACATGGTGTGATTCTTATAGGATAAGATTGCACTACATTATAATATGAGTGATGATGCAGAAAGAAAATCACTTTTGGCAAATTCTAACATGAAATGTACTCACGGAATGCAAAACTTGCAGAAAAATGATGATATGACTAACAACTATCTGACTTGGTCAAGATTGAGCAAAGTATGAAAAGAATTGGGAATTCCAAACCATTTCACTTCACCTTATGTTTTTAAAGGATCTATCATACTCGCATAAATGCAACGAATGTGATTTGGCAGAAACTAGTCAGGGAAACACTACAGGAAGCTAAAAAGAGTCAGAAGAGAACACTTCATTTGGCAACTGGAATGATGTTTTTGGCATTTTTCAAGTTGGTTGTCAGAAACAAATTGTGAAGATTCTAATTCGATACACAAGTGATAGTATTAGACACGAATCATTGCAATTAGTGCAAATCTTCTACAGAAATTATCGTAGATAGTCATGGCCAACAAAAATGTATGATTTTGAGGAAGAAAACCTAAATTTTAACTTAACAAGCAAACGAGAAGAACTCAGCAGATTCAAGATCTCAATTATTTAGAAAAAAAAAAGCATTGAAATCGTTAAATTTATAATTACCAAACCGGAGAGACAATAATTTGATTCATACTCAAACAAAGGAAGCATAAACATAAAGGACGAAAGAGCATCATACCTAATTTTACATGTAAATTTCAGAAAAAGCAGTGATTTAATAAAATTATCTGTTGCTATCATAATCAACGATCTCGTTATCAGTAACAGACCTCGAGTGCTGAACAATTGAGCGTCCAATTGAATTGATCCAATCCTCCTTCTCCTTTTCAGAATCGGCGATGAAGTACATAGTATCGGATCGGGTAGATAGCTCGAAAGCGAATTGCTTGTTGAGGACATCTTCGGCTCCTTTGACTGTGAGGCAGGTGGCGACTGGTACGACGCCACGGGGACGTGATCCGCGGGTTACGATGCCCTCCTTGAACCAGAAGAGTTTGCCTTGTTTCAAAACGAACCAACGGCGGCGCCAGGTCTTGATGTACTCGCCTTGCTTGGTGAGCCAGCCGGTTCGCTCGGGGTTTGCCCAGTACTCGACGCCGTCGTAATCATCGACGTTGGGTGGCGAATCGCCCATCACCGCTCGCCATAGGCTGGCCATCAAGAGATCGTGGTGGTGGTGTCTGGCGTCGGGTGAGTGTGATGATGAAAACAGAGCTTCGTGAGTCAGATATATAAATATAAATTAAATTAATATATACAATTACTAAAAGTCTCCAAAATTCATATATGATAAAAACAATAAAATAAAGTATTTCATTTTATTTTAATAATCAAGTTTGTTATAACTGATATAAAACTAATTATTAACAATAAATTATTTAACCCAGAAATAATAATACAAACAATGCCAAAACAATATTAATTTATACATACCTTTGTGTTTTTTTGCTTTTATAGTAACAAAATTATGATGTTACATGACAAAATTCCAAGAAATAGAAAATGATTTTAAGTGCTGTCATGCTATTACTTATATGTTAAGTAAGATGGCGAGTTGGATAATTTACTTGTATCAATCCACAGGATTTTAGTGTCACGATATTGTTTTAGCATATGAAAATTTTAAATTAACAATGAAGTTTAATTCTTGATTTTATCTAAATATTAAAATGTGTATAATACATATTTGTGTAAAACAAGTTTGATCTTGACCAAATGGTGTGGGTCAATGGCGGAGTCCCCTATCCGATAAATTTTAATTTACTATGAAAAATATCAATTTCAATTCATATTTCTGATAGAGAAATTAAATATACGTCTACTTTTGTTATTATTTTTCCTCCTATATATGTGAAATAATGACAAATGTTTTAAATTGTCATTAATTATAGCAAAATGTGACATTTGTCTTCATTTGATATGTATAGGAGGATAAGTAGGAAAAAATATAGGATGATGTTTAATGTTGATTTAATCTTATATCTCGTAATTAGAATAATTTGAATTTTATAAATCCTTAGTTCTTGATTTCATATTACTGTCTTGATATGAAACTACTCATTGAATGATTATCCTCATAATCTAATTTTCATGATACCCAATTATCCATGCATAAGGTCAAAATTTCAATTTCGAAAAGTGATCACACGATCCTTCAAGTAGATACACGAAACCTCTCGATTTTAGAAACGACCCTCTTCCTCCTAAACCCTAACAAATATCATAAAATTCAATGAAAATAAATAAATGGTAAATTAAATATCATCATATATATATATATATATATATATATATATATATATTTCTTCATACATAGATAGGAAAATATATAGGAAGAAATTATAGAAGGATATTTAATTTCTCTAAACAAATTTGAGATATTTTATATACAAAATAAATTTTAACTCGATGTTTAAAAAGATCTTTATATGAAAAATGCATATACTAATTATCTAAACCGATTTGTTGTTCGTAGAGTAGAATCAAAATTTCCGATTCCATATTTAATTTGGTTTGAAAGGATTATTAGAGATCATTCGAATGTTTGTGTATTGTAATCAATAATCATAATTTATATCTACAAATTACACAAATTACTAATAAACAAGTAAACTACAATGACATTGTTTATGTACCTAAAATAAAGCTAAAAACAAATATAAAAACAATCAGGATATCTGTTTTAGTTTGACTCGTAATACATCTTTATTTGATGTAAAACATTACAGTCTGCTCATTTTTATATGAACAGCTTTCTTGTTTTGTTATTATTAGTTAAAATAGTTATGATCTAAGACATGAAATTTATTATCTTGTTGTTGGAGGTTAGTGGGTTTTCTTATCCCAACTCACTTTGGTGTAGTTATGTTGTGTTGAAAGGCCTGCAATTCCAGAGGGATGTCTTTGGGACCCCATTTATTTGCTTATTTTATTTCTTTTACTTTTGATAGTGTCATTTATTATAGTCCATTGTTGTTCTCAAAAAATAAAATTCGATTCTTAATTTTTTAGATCATTGGTTCTCGTGATTTTAGAACTTTTAATGTTAAGGTTCTTAATCTTAACTACATTAATTTTTTTTTCCGTTAAGTTCATTTAGATGAGGAAAAAATAGTCTTTTCCATGCCACAAGGACCATTTTTGAATATATATATATATATATATATATATATATATATATATATATATATATTCTTAATTTATTATTTAAACACTAACAGGCACTAACGGTTAAACATTAATAGTTACTGCCCTTACAGCTTCCTACAACACCTACAAACCATCCTTCGTCAAACAAAATTAATCACCAAATAGATAACCACTACACAGATTAAATACATGCAATCATCACCCATTTTTTCATCTTCATGCATACATTCTTTCTTAAGAAGCAAAATCGGTTTCGATTAATTATAGCTAAGAAAGAGAAGATCACACATAACCCCAATTAATGATTTGTAAATACAACACCACCACCATACCAACCACTCATTACAATCATACCATCCAAACCCCTATTTAACAGACAGATCATTCCTATTTCCATACACACTCTACAACAAAGATGAAATCTGAAGAAATGGAGACAATGCTCAACACATTGATTCGCCAACTCTAAATCACCCCGAAAGCATTATAATTAGTGCAACTCAAAGTCATCTAACTTTATGATGCAAATGAGGAAATCATGCTTAACATCCCCACCACACCACGTTGTGAACTATGTCATCTCCATAGATGTCCTCTAGGATGCAAAGAAATCATATGTGAACATGCTAGATTGCATCTCCAACATTCAAGAGACCATGCGAAAGGTCATCAATGCCTACAAGCACATGATCAAACACCTACCTGACGACTAAGTCGGATGAGGTGTTTTTTAATGTCTTTTGGTGTGTGTTTTGTTGTTGTTTTGTTCTCTTTTATCTGATGCTTCTATGTGTTTGTCTCTCTTTTTTCTTACTTTTTTTTTTCTAGTGACTTCCGGTAGTAGCTGGCGGCAGATGGAAACACTCCAGTGACGGATGGTGATGGTTGTCGAGTAGAGTGATGAGGAGGAGGTACTAGAGGGTGGGTTGGGGATGGGGGTAGCGGGGTTATTTTTTTTTATTTATTATTATTAATAAAATCATACATCTTTAGGAATGGTCATGAAGGTATGGAAAAGATCATTTTACCCAGATATCAGTTACACTTTACAACATATAAAAGACATTAAAAGTTTTGAAACACATGGACCAACATTTATGACCTAAAAATTAAGGATTGTACTTGATTTTTTTTTAAACCACGGGGACCATTTTTAAAGTTTTGTATTTATATAATGAAAAAGTTTTTCAACGAACTTATATTGTGAAAACTTAGATCACTTATGATATACCTTAAAACAACGAATGTAAAAGTATAAATATCATTTATAAGGCGTCAACAACCAAAGACATTAATCGTAGTGCTTTAATATCATATTGATCCAATGGTTGAATCTGTTTCAACGGTCATCCGATTAAAAAAACATGTCAGTTAAGAACGGTTTTTTGTTTACTAATGAACCAGATTGAACCAGCCGGATTTACCAAAAAAGCAGTGGAACCGTTGTCCGTTGATCCAAAATTGGGTTGGCCTTGAAGATATTTTTGAATCAATATTGTAATTTATGTTTACTTTTTGATATATTTGGATCGTGCTTGAACTTATCCATTTGATAAATCGTAAATTATAAAAATTAATAATTATTAAAAGTAAAAATAAATCATCAAAGTAATATAAAATTTTCACAAAATGACGTCATAACTTTATGTGTAATAGATTTTAATAAGCAGTTTAAAATTTTAAAACCAATTATCACTATATATTAAAGTTTGTTAATATTATATGTTTTAGAATAAAATTCTATAAACTAGATTGATTCGATTGTTGAATTGGTTAATCCGTGACCCATTCATGACATCGGATCAACTAAAAAACCGAATTTTTAAACATTGACTAATTGACATATAACATCTTTTTTTAAACGACCAAAATTTATTAAAAAAGACAATTACATATAAAGGTAACATGGTTTTTTCATATTTAGTCATGTCTGTTTTTTATATATATGATTATTAAACTTGTTTGGACTGTTCACAAAATATCAGTATGACTTGTAATTGTAGGTTTAAACGGTTTCCAACAATTTTGGCGTCTCCGATGAGCCTCTTGTCATCTTCTCCTGCCAATTATAATTTTTCTGACGATCTTAGTTCTTGAAAGTCGGAATACAAAATACCATATTCTCTCTCCTTTTTTCTTCTCTAAAACAAAGATGAACAGATCATTTTCTCTCTCCTCTATCTTTCTTCTATTTTCTTTATATTCTAAGGACAAAATATCATATCTCTCTTCTTCCTGTTTAGATTTTGAGTTTAAGTTCTAGGGTTTGAAAGAATTCATTTTATTAGATCGGGTTGAGTTATAGGTTTAGCTAATTTCGATTTCTAGGTTAATCATATTTCGAGGGTTTTATGGATTTTTCAGAACTTTACGGTATTCTAAGGTGTTCGATCTTCAATGCACCATTTGATGTTCGATTTCATCTTAAACTCGAGTCCGAGCTCCGATTTCTAGGTTTTTTTGTGTGTATGTACGTCTAGTATAAAACGAAGAACACTCATTTGAAGAGAAATCGAGTTCGAGTTCATTTGAAGCAGAGTTTGATTTGGTCTAAAGCCAATTTTGAGTTCATTTGAAGCAAATCTTAAAGACAAAGACGGAAAACACTCATACTCTTGAAGAAATCCATTACAGAAGTCGTTATGGGTTTTAGATTCTTGAAGAAATTATCCGTGTTCTTTGTGTTCTTTGTGTTTGTGTTCACGAGTGTGTTCTTGAGTTCTTGAGTGTTTTGACCAAAAAGTTCAAATTTGGCCGTAAACATACACCAATATATCATAATGGTGTTTTGTGCACAGTCCAAACAAGTTCGGTTGTTTTGACCAAAAAGTTCAAATTTGGCCATAAACATACACCACTATGTCATAATGGTGTTTTGTGAACAGTCCAAACAAGTTTGGTTGTCATATGTGTACAAAAGAAACGTAAGTGGCTAAATGTGTATAAAAGCAAAACCATGTCACCCTTATGAGTAAGTATCCCTATTAAAATCGAAAACTTGTGATAAGTTAGGAAAGTATAATTGCACATTAATATACATTATTGGGTTTTTTATCCGTTCGACCAATTAACTTTCGCTTTCCGAAATCTATCAACAAACCAATTGTATAAGTTGATGATAATATTATCAAATAAAACATGTTTCTTCTTGTTGCCACAAAAATAATCAAATAAAATGTTAAGTACTCTACATAAATTTCCAATCTAAAGGTAGTAGTTTACAAAAGCTATAACTATTCCCCAAAAGTACATTTGTCAAAACAACATTCCCCAAAAGTGCATTATTCTCTTTGTTTTTTAGAATATTCTCTTGACATAAGCAGGGGGTTCTCATTTCAACGAACGAATGCCACGTGTTTAGAAGATTTCGATGAGCTCACCAGTTTTACAAGGATTCGTAAAAGGGGAATGAGTTTATGAATATTGATCGCTTCAAACCCTTAAAGTAGCTAACTTATTACACC